GTGTTGCGTGTGTGTTGCGTGTGTGTTGCGTGTGTGTTGCGTGTGTGTTGCGTGTGTGTGGCGTGTGTGGCGTGTGTGGCGTGGGTGTGTGTGTGTGTGTGTTGCGTGTGTTGCGTGTGTGGCGTGTGTGTGTGTGTCTCTGTGTCTCTGTGTGTCTGTGTCTGTGTCTGTCTCTGTCTCTGTCTCGGTCTCTGTGTCTGCGTGTAGGTGCGTTTGGCGTGTTGAGCGTGCTGGGTCTATCAACGTACGGGTTGGTGCTTGTGTGTTTTTGGTTTCCCTGAGCGGCTTTGTTGGGGCCTGTTAACTGCTTGTCCTGGACACAAGTTTTCTTTGCCGTGCAGGTTCTCATCATTGCCAAAGGCGAGTGGACGAACCCTGAGGCGTGGACAGACCTGGCAGGAAGATGGCAGTGAACAAGAATAAGAATGACCGCGCAAGGCTTGTTTTACACATGGGGGTTCTGGAAGCGGCCGCGCTTCGCGAAAAGAAGCGCTCCTCTGCTGGCAGCAGCAGCTGCTGCCAAGAGCTCATGGCTGGATGACGAATCTGCATATGTTGAGGTCAGTATCCACTTTGCATAGGCCTGCAATATCCAACTCCAAATATATGTTGCTAAGATCTTCGGATTCCATGCAGGTTTGCATTCTGGCAAGGTCCTGGTTCTATTGGCAAATTAGCATGGGCGTGTGTTTTTAATGGTTGGATTGGGATGTTCACTGGGGGCCAACCGGGGTTTTGTTCCCCATGGAAATGTGCTACTAGGTCGCGCAGTGGTGCCCTTTTACACTTTTTTGGTTGGGAGGGTTCCTCTACTAAAATAGACAACAGAGAAAAACAAAAAACGGGTACTATTCGAACTTCTCTACTGGAAGACCTGTGCTAAATTCGGCTTTGCCTCTCAATGAGAAGAAATGCAGCGAGGACAGCGGCGAGGAGATCTCCCCGACGCCGACCGGCATGGAGAAAGATGCCAAGGCGGCGCTGAACCGAAAGGCTCTACCCAAGCTGCCTACCCCAAAAAGAAAAGTCAGCGGACGTCAAGCATTTATTCAGAGATAGCGGTAGAAAGAGTATTCACGAGTGCGATCAATGTTTACATCAGAATCGCAAGTTGCATAAGCAGACCTTGCCAGAATCATCGTGCTTGCCTTTTGCTGATTTTTCATTGTGTCATTTGTCTTCCCCCGCTCCTTCTCTCAATGCAAGCCTAAATTCCGGTCTGAAAGAGTCTTTGCGATGTGAACGCAGCGCCAGCAGGTTGCGACTTTTGAGCCTTTGCATAAACTTGCGTGCACCATGCTAGGTGGAGATATCGTCCTGCTGAGAAGAATTTGATTGAATTATCAATGAAGATTCTTTGACTCTTTCTTAGAATGCGCTTCGAAATTTCTGAAATTGAAGAAGAAGCAAAATAAAAATAGTATATAAATATTCAAATTAAATAGTGTATATTAATATATGTTATATTGATATGTATTTAAGCTTGTATTAAATTTAATGAATTTAGATTTTTAGATGTTATGATATGAATAATGTTAGAACTATGTAGTTTGTTTGAATTTACTATTGGATTTATTTATTATGTCTTCTAATTGAAATTTGTTGTTAATTATGTGGTGGATATTTGTTTTTTATATTGGATATTGTTTGTGTTCATATTTGTTTAGTTTTATTTGTTTGTTGATGTGTAATTATATTTTTTTAGGATTTTTATAAATGGTTTGTTTGATGATTTAATATTTAATAGGTGATTTGTATTAGATTGTTTGTTTAGAATATAATTTTTGTGTTTTTAGATATGATTGTTGTAGGTTGGAAGAAACATATGTATGTTATTTTGTATTTAGTTATTTATATTTATATTTTTTTTTATGATTGATTATTATTTGTATTTTTTTGAAATGTTATGTTTATTAATGGTTGTTGATTTATAATTGTTTATGGTTATTGGTGTATTTTTTGGTTTAATTTGTTTGTGGTTTTATATATTTATTTTTGTTTTTATTATTTGAAATATGTATTTAAATATTTTTGTTTTTTATTTTATTTTGTATATATTATATTGGAAATATTATAATTCGGTTTTTAGATTTTTAGATATTTGATAATATTTTTTGTATTTTATTATGTTGTTGATTTTTTAATTGTTGTATTTGGATGTTTTTTTATTTGTTATTATTGATTAGTTATTGAATTGGTTATATATAATATTATATATTGTGTTTGTTATTTAGTTTTATTTTTTATTTTTTTTATTTTTGTTTATTTGTGATTGATTTGTTTTTTTATTATTATTTTATATATATTTGATTTTATTTATTTGATTTTATTTATGTATTTATTTAATATTGTTTATTAATTTGTTTTTGCATTATATTGTTTGATTGTTTTACTTACCTCTTTGTATATTTGTATTGGATTTAATTTATTTATTTTATAAATTTTATTTTATTTTATTTATTTGTTTATTTTGTTTGTTTTGGTTATCTTGCTTATTTTATTAAATGGATGAAGTATATTAAATTTTAATATATTGAAAATATTGGAATTATTATTAATTGATTTTAATGCATTTTTCATAACACTTTTGAATGATGTAGATTGTGAGATTGATATAAAGGAATCTCTTTTTTTATGGGGATTAGTGTTTGGGAAATCTTTCCTATTATGTTATAGAAATTGTTATTTCTTATAGTCCTGGAATGAAGCATTGTATCTTATACCAAAAGGATTATAATTAGTTTCAAAGATCAAATGTGAATAGAAACAAACGAAGGAATCCTAGAAATATTGAATTTCATATTTTTTGTGTTTGGTTTAATTATAGGAAAAACAGATTAATAAATACCTATCCTATTGTTATATCTGATCTAGAAAAATCCGGATTAAAATAAGCTTGATCCGCTTGAACAATGTTATCTAATTTAACACATGTCTAGTTAATCTTACGGGATAAATTTGTGATTTTTGTGTTCTATTAGAATTAGCAAATATATCAGATGTTAACCGTTCTTTGTTTTATCTGACTTCATTAATATTAAACACAATCATATTATTTTGTTTACCTGATGGATAAATTTGACCGGTTCCTCGCTTTCCATCAACACCAAATGCATATGATACAATACATAAAATGAATATAATATATCAAAATGTTGGTGGAATTGGATAAGATGAATCTGAAGTGGTATTATAATATCCTCTACGAAATATTGGATATTCAATTTTCTACAATATTTGATGTTTATATTAACACCTATCTATTTTTTACTCATATCATAGGATATTTTTATTCGATTTCAAAGACGGATAAACAACTTTCTGATTTTACTGACAGCCCGCGCAGGCTGCTGCATTTGGAACACACAATCCCTTGCCTGCCTTGCCTGCCTTGCCTGCCTTGCCTGCCTTGCCTGCCTTGCCTGCCTTGCCTGCCTTGCCTGCCTTGCCTGCCTTGCCTGCCTTGCCTGCCTTGCCTGCCTTGCCTGCCTTGCCTGCCTTGCCTTGCCTGCCTTGCCTGCCTTGCCTGCCTTGCCTGCCTTGCCTGCCTTGCCTGCCTTGCCTGCCTTGCCTGCCTTGCCTGCCTTGCCTGCCTTGCCTGCCTTGCCTGCCTTGCCTGCCTTGCCTGCCTGCCTTGCCTGCCTTGCCTGCCTGCCTTGCCTGTCTTGCCTGCCTTGCCTGCCTTGCCTGCCTTGCCTGCCTTGCCTGCCTTGCCTGCCTTGCCTGCCTTGCCTGCCTTGCCTGCCTTGCCTGCCTTGCCTGCCTTGCCCGCCTTGCCTGCCTTGCCTGCCTTGCCTGCCTTGCCTGCCTTGCCGCCTTGCCTGCCTTGCCTGCCTTGCCTGCCTTGCCTGCCTTGCCTGCCTTGCCTGCCTTGCCGGCCTTGCCTGCCTTGCCTGCCTTGCCTGCCTTGCCTGCCTTGCCTGCCTTGCCTGCCTTGCCTGCCTTGCCTGCCTTGCCTGCCTTACCTGCCTTACCTGCCTTACCTGCCTTACCTGCCTTGCCTAATCAATTATAAATAAAAAATATCATAATCAAAACAAAATCGCCATAACAATTTACTTTCCGAGAATTTCCACCATATTCCTACATTCCTACCAATTTCCGTCGCAAATCGGGGATAAAACAACTAAAAACCACAAATCAAGAAAAAAATATCGCAAATTAAAAAAAAAACCTTTTTAATTTGTAACAATTCTATCATAACGAATCTCTAAATATATATATATAGAATTGCTTTATTCATTGTGTTAAGATATTCTAAATAATAATAGATTAGAATTTATCAAAATAACCATTTAAACTAATTAATTATATTCGATATTTTATAAGTGTTTAATATTTTATAAATACTAAATTTATTAAAAAACATATTATATAACAATTCTTTATTATTTCAAAAACATAATAATATATAAATTATTATTTTTAGTTATTTTATAATAAAATATATAAAATCCTTATAGCTTCCCAATAAATTCCTTAAAATTTATCTATTAATAAACAAAAAATCAATGGCAAATAATATAAACATAATAACCCATCCAAAAAAAAAAAATATATATATTTCATAATCTTTATAAAAAATCATAAAATTCTAAATAAATAATTACCTCAAAACCATCCCAACCCCTCTTAAAATTTATCTAATTTTTTACCCCATTGTTTTTCAATTATTCAAAAAAAACAATCAACCACATATATATATATATATTAATATATATATATATATATAACATGATTTAAATTAATTATATTTATTAAATTATATTTATTTATTTTATATAATAAATATTTATATATATATATATTATAATAATATTATTATTATAAATTTAACTATATATAAATTATTTATTATTTATATAATTTATTTATATAATTCCAATTATTTTCTATTCAATTTATTAATTTATACTATAATCCATAATTCATGGTTCATTATTTCAAACCGAATTATGAAAATTAGATTGGTTTTAGATACAATCATATTGATGATTATGGGCAGTTTCAGTTTGCTGGCACGAGTTGGCGATCTCTCCAGGCGAAATTGTGTATGGTGGGCTCTGTACACTTGAAGCCACGAGGCCAACCAGTGACTGAAAATTGTAGCCCACGAAGCCGACAGCTTAGCGCAAGCTGATATCAACCACCCGGTGTGACATTGAGAAAGCTGAGTTGGCTGCAGCTGCATGCCCAAAGGCTTGCCATGCACGGAGCTCACTCCAGCACTTGGTAGCCCGGGCCCTGCGCAACTTGAAGGGCCAACTTGAGGGTGAACAAACGCTAGCCCAGCCCAACGACATGGGAAGCTCAGCCCCGAAAAGAAGCTAAAGCTTAGAGAACTCCCGCTAGCACAGCTAGCTTTCGTGACTTGCTCTGTCCAATCAAGATGGACGTGGCTGACAGTTGTCACATTGCATGCCACAGCCTCCAGCGGATCTGGCAGCTCCCTGCGCAGCAACTCGTGAGGCAATTCGATTGTTTTTGGTCTGAAATGAAGAAATGCAACTCCAAAACTCCAGCTAGGGTCGTATCCTGGGGATCAAGGCAAGTCGCAGGCGAGCAAGAAGCTCAAATGCCGTGCCACTTGCTGCAGTCCGTGCCTCGCGGAAGCCTTGCCTGGCAAGCTCGGTCAAAGCCGCTTTTTCCGGCCAAACAGTTGATGGCTCATCACTGGTGAGTCAGTAAGCGGAAAGGGCAAATACGAGGCACCACTAACGAGGCGCCTATGGGAGGGCACCTGGACTGGTCCTCATGTCTGGTGCTATGTTAGTTGGAGGGGGGGGAAGAGGCCAAATACCCATTGAACAGATCCGGGAATACATTGATGGTTGAACCGTCTGGCAAATTACATTGGGAAGGGCCAGCCACGTCAAGCATGGTTGCACAAAAGCAGATATCACGCATATCACGCATATCACTCATATCACTCATATCACTCGTATCACTCATATCACTCGTATCACACATATCACACACATCACACACAGACACAGACACAGACACAGACACAGACACAGACACAGACACAGACACAGACACAGACACACAGAGACACACAGAGACACACAGAGACACACAGAGACACACAGAGACACACTGAGACACACAGAGACACTCAGAGACACACAGAGACACACAGAGACACACAGAGACACACAGAGACACACAGAGACACACAGAGACACACAGAGACACACAGAGACACACAGAGACACACAGAGACACACAGAGACACACAGTGACACACAGAGACACACAGAGACACACAGAAACACACAGAGACACACAGAGACACACAGAGACACACAGAGACACACAGAGAGACACACAGAGACACACAGAGAGACACAGAGGCACACAGAGAGACACACAGAGAGACACACAGAGAGACACACAGAGAGACACACAGAGAGACACACACAGAGACACACACAGAGACACACACAGAGACACACACAGAGACACACACAGAGACACACACAGAGACACACACAGAGACACACACAGGGACACACACAGGGACACACACAGGGACACACACAGAGACACACACAGAGACACACACAGAGACACACACAGAGACACACACAGAGACACACACAGAGACACACACAGAGACACACACAGAGACACACACAGAGACACACACAGAGACACACACAGAGACACACACAG